AAATTTGAATTGTAAGAAACCGACTATTTCTTAATTTCTGCTATACCACTTTAGCCAGAATCACCAATTACATATATGAATGAAAATTGATTGACTCTAAATACAATCAATACTAAAATGATCAAACAAAAACTCATATTAGATTTCACTTGGATAGAATATGCACAATGACAATACTTATTATATGACAAAACGAATATGTATATATGAAATTTTATATATTTAGCATTTATATGCCTGATTGATAATAATAATAATATAATAATAATAATAATAATAATAAATAAAAATAAAAAAAATTAACAAATCTGCCCCCAATCCACAAATCATTTAAAGTACATTAAAGTAATTTTTGGTACAAGGTAAATGAATTTTCATCACCAAGGGATAATGTTTCACACGCTGGTGTAACTGTTGCTTTTCCAGATAGTGTTTAATGCAAAAAAAACATTTTGTGTAAAGAGAGTGAAATTTATAGCAAATCTCGTATGTCTTGAATACATCAAGAATCTGCCATCAAACGGCAATTGATAGTAATGACAAATAAAAATTTATTCCATTACAATTTGTTTCGACAAAGTTCCTTTAAAATCTCATTTTCTGCTTTTTAATTTTCTTTTCTTTTCTTCTTTAGTCACAACAGTAATTTTACAAAGCAACAAGGTGTTCCAAGCCTACTGAATTTGAATTACCAGTTGTAATTTATGTCACAGAATAAAATGAATTTTATTCAGAAAAGAAAGTTTAGATCTGTGTGGCATGATAGAGCCAGTAGGCTTTGAAACGTCACCAGGTCTCATTTTCATTGTAATTCTGTGAATGTTTGAAACTTGAAAAAACTACCAAATACCACAATAAAGTTGTGCTATTGTTAGCAACCACTATTTGTGAAGATCTGCTACATGTTAACTTATTATATAATGCTGTTTTTGAGTAATTCAAACTTATACCGTTCAAGGTCTTATGGATAATAAATTATTGTTTATCACTTATACACCACAACCAATCCCTGCGCTAGTGGTAAAGACTTCACATGTTATTATATGCTAGGCTGCCGTAGCAAAGAATAAATTCAAGTATACTTACAGTCATCAATTCTGTTGTTAGCTCTCGTTGCAAAGCATTGTTTGATTTTGTTATTGAGATTGTTATTAATATTGTTAATGTTGTTGGACAACATTTTTGTGATTATTCTTCATTCCGTCTTCTATCAGCAGCTCTCGTGTTTATTCCTGGGCTGCTTTATTCTGAGCTGTTGCTAGGTAGTTTACGTGAACTTGGTTATTTTTGTAAAGGGGGAATGGGTTTTTTTTTTCTTTTTGATAAACCTTTTAGGATCCGATGTGCTACCAGCAAATTCTGCGATTAGAAAACAACTCTTCCTTGTCTCGTTGATGTGATTTTGTTGCCGGCACACAGTTGGGTAGCTGGAATTCATTCCAGTGCCTCTACCCATGAACTAACCACCAGTTTATTTGGTCCTGAAGAATCCTCTCGCCCAAATACTTTGCCAACCCACGCAAAATTCAGAAAAAGAACATTAATAGTTATTTCAATAAAATGTGATTAAAACTGCCTGTTGACCAATCAATAATGTACTTTACAATACAAAACTAAAATAATTAATAAAAATATGTATTCATTGATGCCAAGTATAGTGTGTTGGCAACTAAATCTTTCGGTTCTCCCTGCTATCCTGCCCCCAAAACTTTGGTTTAAAATATAGAAACACTTAAGCATTTATTGATAAAATGCGAATATGAGATCTGTTGTATAGATGTATGTTTGACTTTGAAACGTACGTTAAGAAGTTTCGGGTTACGTAAGGTGTCAAAATGTTTTGTTTTTCTTTATTTTATTTTAATTGTGGTAAATTTATTTGCTTTCTAGCAGAGTTTCTAGCTAACTTAGAGACCTCGGCCTCTGCAACAAACACAAAACTTCCTCGAGTTCCAGCCAATACAAAACATTTTGATGTTTTATCAAAATGCTGTTTTTGCTTACTCAGCTTTCTCTTGTGTACTACAAACTATAATGATCCCTTTCTTTGCATCAGGCTACCTTTCGTTTTGGCGTCCGATCCCCTTCCTGGTTGCCCATTACGGATTTCCCTCACCAGGTATCTCCCACCAATGGGCACCTCCCCAGCCAGAAAAAAACCCTTCTAAACTTCGACTGCGTCTCTACTTACATTGTGTGTTGTGTTAGTGCCATTAAGTGTTGTGAGTGTAAGGTAAGTATAGGCAAGAAAGAGCGAAGGAATATTCTTGAAACCAAAATGATGCCAAGTCTAGTGTAAATATTCCCTTATATGGATAATACAAATTAGAAAATAAATCACATAAATTGTGAATGTGTTAAAAAATATAAAAAAATAAAAAACAAGGAAAAAAAACGAATAAAATTTACAAAAATAATAGCTACCTACAACGTTTCTCAAGCCCCATAATTGGTAAGCCACTATCAAGAAGAGTTAGGTTAAGAGTACATGCAGCAGAGATATTTTCTGCGATCTTGCTAGGCTGCATTAGACTCAATATTAAAAAGAAATGTTGCCCCACGAAAATGAACTTATTTTCCATTTTACAACACGTATAGAAGAAAATAAAATAATAGCCACTAAAAAAACGTAGAAATAATGACAGATGGAAGAGTCCCAAAAGAAGAAATGAAATGTCAACCCAGAAAAAACCGAAATCCAGGTTCGTCCAGAAGGTAGGGATGTGACATTAGCCATCGATGCCTCAAAATTAAAACATCGACCAAAGCATGAAGTTTAAAAAAATCGATGTTTTTAAAAACTGAATAGTAACCACTTGAAGTCAACTGTCGGGGAATGGGGAGTAATTTCATTTTAAAGTCGCGATCTCGGATATTAAATTTTAATCTAGATTTAACTGACAAAACCAAAGGGAAAAAATCGCCAGGACAATTAGCAAAAACTCGGATTAATCTGATTCATTAATTCAAAAAACTATTAGAGTTCTTCCTAATTTTGATGAAAACTCCGATTATTCACCCTTAGTTCACTTTTGGTCTGAAAATTATTTCAAACTGATGGATATCTGAAAATATTATTAATTTTTTTTATCATGGACTTTTCTCATATAAAAAGATCTACCGCGTAAAAACATCGAACACAAAACATGGAAGTTTCGAAAAACCCGGACATCCGACGTGCATCCCTCCCTTGAAGAAAACTGACTGACAAGCCCAGCACAGACTTTCCCTAAATCTAAAGGCGATGCTAAAACTCACCTCTTCCTTGCTGAGACATGCCCTTCTGAACCCCATAACTTCCAGACCTTGCAGTTGCTGCTGTTGTTGCGAGATGCGTCATCCCCTGCACGGCTCGTTTCAAATCGTTGGGGTCAAGCTGCCGACACACGACACCTGGGCCAATGCAAAGCAATCATTTAGTAAAATGAGGAAAGGAGGATAAACTATTACAGTAACAAGACAATTCAAACGAGAAACTGAAACAGCACGACTTTCTTGCCACAGCATTATGTAACGGTATATTGATTACCCCGGCAAAAGTGTTTCAATCGTTAAGCACACTGGGATTCGAACTCGAAAATTTAGGTTTCTGAAGTAATTAGCGCAACCCCTACACAGTCGCTTGATCACCATAATGTCCTCCCGAACCTTTAAAAACAATGGCGAACATTATTCAATCCCGAAATTCAGAGTTTAACGAAATAAGCAACGATTTTCAAGTAAAACGTCTTTTTTTAAAAAATTAAAGAATTCGAGAAACCTTGTTTATGTAATTTTTTAAGCGTCTTACCTCACCCAATTAATACGAAAACTTATAATATTTTGTTAATTACTTTACATGACATTATTAAAAACCTCAATTTTGCAAGAACAGATTTCATTCAGAAAAAAAAAAATCTGTCATTATATTGAGTTATAGGGGAATACATCCAAAATATAAACTCTTGGAGTTCTTGAAAATTCTGAGAATTCAACAGAGCATTACTTTGCTTTCCTCGAGAAAAACTGAAGGTATTTTGAGAAATGTTGAATTGGCGATTTAAAACTAAAAGCATTTATTTACTCCCCAAATTTATAAATTTCTTTAAAAACTCGTGAAGACCTTCTAGTGCTGATTAGAATCAAACGATCGGGGAACGCGCCAATTTCGGAGCGAAAAATTCTAGGTGAACGGTTCAGGATAGTTTTATCGACAGTCGACAGACAGACGTTTGTTGAAAACGCACTTTCGAACAGGTATCCAAAGTACGAGTTTTTCTGTCGGAAAAATCACCATTTTATCGCTGCAGCATTACATACAATGTTATTATTACTTAAATATAAGCCAAAAAAAAGTTTAAAATCAAGTATTTTAAAATAGAAGTCGGAGATTACAAAGAAGAGAGGACAGAGAGAAACGCAAGACTAGACGAGACTTAGCTAAAAACAGAAAAAGGAGAAGTAGGAAGTCGGAAAAAAGTGGGAGAGACATAGAGAGAGGAATTATGAAAAGACTCAGAGAACACGGCAAGAAGTCAGACTAAACAAGGGAAGCTAGATAAAGCAGAGGGAGACAAGCGTGAGACGGAGAGAGCAAAAGAGTAGGATAGTTAGAGAAACAGAGAGGACAGAGGAAGAGAGAAGAAGAGAGAAGGAGAGAAGAGAGAGAGAGAGAGAGAGAGAGAGGCTAGAAGGAGAGAGCCAGAAGGAAACTGATTATTTCAGTTTTTCCGGAGCGTCAATGCTATGGGACATAGTCCGTAAGTTGTAGTGCGTGCTATATCACGGAGTGGCGGTTTTCCATCCCGCTAGAACATATATCCTGTGCCGCACCTACACGTCGGGTTGTTAGGATTTTCCAGAGGAGAGCCACAAGAGCAGAGAATGACGGTAAGAGACAGCAGAGAGACGAGAGAGAGAAGAGAGAAGATGAGAGTGAGAGAGAGAGAGAGATGCGAGTGAGTGTGAGAGA